TGCTCACCTCCTTAAACTCAACCTGTCCAAAACAGAACTTCTGGTCTTTCCTCCCTCAAGTGTTACTACTCCTGTGTCTGTCTCCGTCCAAGTCAACGGTGCCACCATCACCTCTACCTCGCAGGCTCGCTGCCTGGATGTTCTTTTTGACTCCAACCTCTCCTTCACCCCTCATTTCCAATCAATCGCCAAACCCTGTCACTTCCATCTCAAAAACATAGCGCGCATCTGCCCCTGTTTACGCCAGATGCGGTTAAGGTGCTGGTCCATGCTGTTGTTCTTTCTCGCCTTGACTACTGCAATACCATTCTCAGTGGTCTTATGTGTTCCCAGATTGCACCGCTGCAATCTATAATGAATGCGGCAGCGAGGCTCCTTCTCCTGTCCGCTCGCACCTCCCACGCCTCCCCCCGCTCTGTCGGTCCCTGCATTGGCTTCCAGTTAGATATAGGGCTCAATTTAAAATTCTGGTGCTTGCTTACAAGTCCCTACATAATGCTGCTCCAACCTACCTATCCTCCCTAATACACAAGTATGTCCCGTCGAGGCCCCTACGCTCTGCTAAAGACCTACGTATATCCTCTGTCCGTACTCCCACCTCTAATGCTCGCCTCCAAGATTTCTCCAGGGCTGCACCTCTTCTGTGGAATTCCCTTCCCTTCTCTGTAAGACTTTCACTCAGTCTCCACTCACACACACAAAAAAAAATCATTGAAAACTCACTTCTTCAAGAAAGCATATATCAATTAAAATGTTAGCAGGTTTTTATCCTCCATCCCCCATGACTCCTCTCCTGCAGCCTTCAAAAATGACCTACTAAGTGAATACTTTTCTAACAACCTACTTTGTACCCCTACTTATACCCTTTGTGTCACTATACCCCACTCCCTCTAGAATGTAAGCTCATTGAGCAGGGCCCTCCACCTCTCTGTTCCTTTACGTCCAATTGTCTGGTTACAATTACATGTCTGTTAGTCCACCCAATGTACAGCGCTACGGAATGTGATGGCGCTATATAAATAATAAAATATTTAATACTGACGGTAGCCCGAACACAGATCACTACCCACTTGTATATAAGTAAACCCCCACCCCCTTTTCCCCTCTCTCCCAACCCTGTGCTGCATGTGAAATGTGGGGTCAGCAGGGCAACATCAAGTAGGAGAGGTCTAAGTTGTTAAATCTACTAGTCTGAACCATGAATATGATACAGGCCTAACGATGTACATATAAGTGATGTCCTGCACTGAAGTTTATGCAATGTATATCAAGTAACCTTTTAACCTGATTAACCAACCCTTGCTTCCTTTCTGTACCCCCCCATACTGCTATAATCCAATAAAAATGTTCAAATTGAAAAGAAAAGAAAAAAAAACAAAACAGATGAATAGCTCAGACACACAGAGAGGAAGGGTTTCTGTTTAAAAGAGCAGAGAAACCCCAACAGTACCCAGTACCTCCCCCTCAATGACTCTCTCTCGAGAGTAGGAGTTCTCCTCCATAGATGGAGGAAAGAACTGTCAAGACAGGGCATCAGCCCAAATGTTTTTAGTAGCGGGCAAATAAGAAACCACATAATTGAAGCTCGATAGGAAGAGAGCCCATCTAACTTGCGGAGGGGAAAGCCGTTTAACTTCGGAAAGATATGTAAGATTCATGTGGTCTGTGAGAATGAGAATTGGCACTGAGATACCCTCAAGAAGGTGCCTCCACCTTCTTTGAGAGCTAAAATTATAGCTAGGAGTTCTCTATCACCAGTCTGGTATTTGCATTCCGCTGGATTAAATTTCTTCGAGAAATACCTGCACGGATACATGGAGCTCTCAGGGTTAGGACGCTGAGACAGGAGGGCACCTACTCCTTTCTCAGATGCATCGAGTTCGAGAATGAATGGTAAGGCAAGGTTAGGGTGTGCCAGTATTGGAGCTGCAGCAAAGGTGACTTTGAAAGACTCAAAGGCAGTAATGGCTTCCTGTGACCAATTTTGTGGATCGCCAGGTCTCCTGGTCATATCCGTGAGAGGTTTAACCAAGGAAGAAAAGTTGCACATGATTTTCGGATGATAATTGGCGAAGCCAAGAAAACGCTGTATAGAACAAAGGCTCATAGGTCGAGGCCATTGTAGTACAGCAGAAAGTTTCTTTGGATCCTTAGAGAATCCAGCGTCAGAAATAACATAGCCCAAAAATTTAACCTGTTTGTGGTTGAACTAACATTTCTCCAATTTACAGAAGAGATTATTTTCTCTGAGTCTCTGAAGGACACGAGAGACGTCTGCGTGATGGTTCGAGAGATGTGGAATGGATAAGAATATCATCAAGATAAACCACCACACATTGCTGCAGCATATCTCATAGGACATAATTTATAAATTCCTGGAAAACCGCCGGAGCATTGCAAAGACCAAAGGGCATCATTAGGTATTCATACTGTCCGCTTGTGGTGTTAAATGTGGTTTTCCATTCTTGGCCCTCTTATCCTGATGCGATTATATGCCCCTCTCAAATCGAGTATAGTGAAGACCGTAGCTCCCTTGAGGCAGTCAAATAACTCTGTGATCAAGGGAATGGGGTAGGCATTTTTAATAGTGATACAATTGAGACCCATATAGTCGATACAGGGTCTCAACTTGCCACTATTCTTTTTCACAAAGAAAAATCCAGCCCTGGCAGGAGAGGAGGACTTGTGAATAAATCCCATTTACAAAGCATCGGTAACATACTCCTCCATGTCTTGATTTTCTGCTACAGACAGCGGGTAAATCGGGCCACGAGGTGGAATGCCATCAGGTTGGAGTTCGATAGCACAGTCATAAAGACGGTGTGGCGGCAGAATACATCTTAGAATTCCAGGTACTAAGCAGGCAACAAAGAGGCAGAAGATGTGCACAAATCGTAGACTAGTTTAAGGAGACAAGTAAATGTACATTGCTGGGACCAAGAGAATATCTCAGATTTGTGCCAATCAACTATGGGGTTTTGCTTCTATAGTAATATGGAGAGGAAATCACCTGGAGTTGGTTCATCTCATGGTGGAGAGCCCTTACAGCCAAAGATATGGGCTCGGTTTCATTGGTTACGTGGTTAGGCTGTAGTGGTCTGCCATCGATGGCTTTGAAAGCTAGCGGAAAGGTGTGAGGCTGTAAGGGTATAGTGTGCTCTGATGCTAAGGCACTATCTATAAACAAGCCTGCAGCCCCAGAATAGACCCCCGGGAGCGTGCGCAGCTTAGCGGACAGGGGCACATGTATGAGTGTGGGATGGATGATGCATGATTGGCTATATGCTACATGTGGGAGTGTGAGGAAGTGGGTGGTGACAGATCAGACTGACCTCAGTGCCACTTAGGAGCAGGGCCAGCAACAAGTTTCCCACCCACCCTCCCTTTGCTGCTTTGGGCCCGGGGGGTTGTCACAGCGAGGCGGGGGTGTGTCCTTGCCAAATAAGGGATGGTTTGGTAGATTAGATGAAAATGGGGGATAATGGCCGGGTCTCATCCTCCCCCTGTCTCTTATGGTGAACCTGGAGAAGGTACCAGGTTGGACATGTCCCCACTGGGTTGTAAGTCGACCAGTGGGGAGCATTATGGTTGGGCCCCACCGAGTTGGTGGGGAGCCCTGAAAAGGCAGATGTTTTTATTATGCCGAGGTGGGGAGGTGAGAGCCTTGGGGAAGTTAGATTGGCAAGGATGGTTTCTTTGGTTACTGTATGACTATATGCAAATTGTTTATGTTAATTTATGATATTTATTATTTCGTTATATGTTAAAGGAGTCATACAGTATTTGGTTGTGTTAATAAATGCTGTGGCCTGTTTTCTCCAAGAAGTTGTCTGTCGTTATTTGAAGGGGTAAGTTATGGTTTTATGGGGGATGAAGGGAATGCTATCCAATGCCCACTACGTACATACATGAGTAATGCCTGGTGTAGCAGGCTGGCCAGGTCTTGGGTCATAAACAACAGAAACAGTTATTATTATTATTATTGCCATTTATATAGCGCCAACAGATTCCGTAGCACTTTACAATATTTTGAGAGGGGGGATTTAACTATAAATAGGACAATTACAAATAAACTTACAGGAACAATAGGTTGAAGAGGACCCTGCTCAATCGAGCTTACATTCTATAGGAGGTGGGGTGTAAAACACATTAGGACAGGAAGTGTAAAATTACTAGAGCATGGACAAGCTCCTTGGTAGCATCTTGCATAAGAAAGGGGCGAATGCGGGCTATGTTTTTGAGTTGGAACCTACAGGACTTGGCAACAAACTGGATGTGAGGCTCAAAGGTGAGACCAGAGTCAAGTATGACGCCAAGACAGCGCGCTTGCAGGGATGGACTTATGTGTTTTACAGTTCTTTCTTCCAATATGAGGGAAGATTTATTTAGCAAGCAGGCCCCAACTGAGTCACAGCAAAACATGAAAACCCCAAATAAACACCTACTCCACACTGGAGACTAACTAACATAGAGTACCCTTTCTATGCTACTGGGCAGCTACGCTGACCCCAGGAGTTTAACAAATAAAAATAAAAGCTTGCAAAATACCGTTTTGTTCCCACACAGTTTCAGCTGTCTTTTTGACTCACAGTCTCTCTGTCTCTGCCCCAGCTCTTCACAGGACAGACTGATTTCCCTCTCCATAGGGTTTATGTAGCTCCCTAATTGATGTACTAGAGCAACCTGATTTTTAACCTCCTCTAGTCAGGGAACACTGAAAGTGCCATTCTGGGGCTAATATAGCAATGTTCCCTCACGCTGCCACACTGGATATTAACTGATGACTCAGGAGAGGACAATAGGAACCAAGGGTTTGTCTTTATAGATCTCTGGGGATTCAGAAAAGCCACCCAAGGGCTGTCCCTAACAGTACCTTAGGTGCATGCGTTTTCCTGGACGAATCAGGCAAGACTTTACAGAGAGGCATGAGAAGCCTAACAGCCTCGGCTCCACACCGCCAGTGGACTCAGGACCAGGATGCATGGAAGGCTTTTGTGGGGAAGAAAAGTTCGGTGTCAAATATACAGGAGGCTTCCGCAGGCGCTCCCTGAATGAGGATCTCTCTCGGAGTCTGATATCAAGGAGGATGACAAAGGAGATCAGTTCCTCGAGATCTTTAGGTAATTCTCTGATTGCAATCTCATCCTTAATAGCATCGGAGAGCCTAATTAAAAAGGCAGCCACGAGAATCTCATTGTTCCAGACACTTTCTGCTGCCAGGGTACGGAATTCACTGGCATATTCGACAATCGTTCTCGTGCCCTGTGCATTAGACATGAGTTGTTTGGCAGCAGAGGTGGAGCGAGCTGGAATATCAAATACCCTTTTAAAGGACATCACAAATTCAGGGTAATTGTAAATATTGTGTCTCTCTGCCTCCCAGAGAGGATTCGCCTAAACTAGGGCTTTTTCAGACAGCAAAGAAATCATGAACCCAACTTTGCTTCTGCCTGTAGGAAATGCCTGGGGAACCAATTCAAAGTATCCTCCAACCCGGTTTAAAAATCCTCTGCACTGAGCTGGTTTCCCCAAAATACTGAGGGAGTAATTCCTCTAGCCGCAACAGGTGGTAGAACATTCACAGAGATCTATATGTCTAGGATATGCAGGCTCTGTTAATTGTGACTCTTTTGCCATCTATTAAGACTGGTGTGTGTTATGAATGTCCTAAGCACTGTCTTATCTGACCTGGTGACTTACAGGGCCGGTGCAAGGATTTTTGCTGCCCTAGGCAAAAAAGATTTTGCCGCCCCCCCCCCACCCATATGTCCTGCCCACCATGTGACATCACAATGCCCCGCCCATATGCTCTGCCATATGGGCCAATGCCAGTCTTCACAAAGTGTCTTTTATCTGAAAAGACAGTGTGTTTACATTAAAAAGCCTACAGGCACAGGCTATAGACACCAGAACCACTACATTAAGCTGTAGTGCTTCTGTATCCATTTAATGTGAGGTAAATTAGAGATTAGTGTCACTAATAATATATTGGATTGCCTACTTGCCACCAGATGAGGACAAGAGGCTGATGATGGGCTCAGTCTGGCTCCACAGGTCTGGTGTAGAAGAGGCTCTCTGGAGACTGTTTGTAACAGTGCTCACAACAATTAACGAACAGGAAGCAGCTCCATTTTTTAGGGCCCCTTACACAGCTGAAGGTCTGGGCCCCCAGGGCTTGACCGTGAGTATGCCTACAATGCCCACCCATAAATCCAGCTACATGGCCCACCCATGAGTTCTCTCACAGTGTAACGAGAATATACCCCAACACGCAGGATTCAGCTAAACAAAAGACAACACAGAGGAGAGATACGTCTACCGGACCTTAGAATGGCCGGACTCGACGTATATGAGAGGAGACAGAGTCAGGAACAATCCGAAATCAAGGGCACAGAGAGACAGCGTAAACTAGGACAAGCCGGGGTCTGGTACACAGTAAACAACAAGCCGACAACCAGAACAGATAAGGATAAAGAGAAAACGTAGTCAGAAACAAAGCCAAGGTCAATACGGAGAAACACAACTGAACACAACAAGCGCTAAAGGGAACTGATACAGAAACCACGATAGGGCAAGGAACAAAGGAAAGAAGGTTAGTATAAATACCTAAACATCTAATTTGATTGGTCCCTGTTACATCCACGCCCCCAAAAGGTAAGTGTATGGGGAGTGTGGCATGACAGGGACCAATGGGATGCCTTTTCCAATTTAGGCACCCACTGTCCCTTTAAGAGCGCGCCCGATACCCGCGGCGCGCTCTTAGAGTAGGTAGAACACGTGACCGCTACTAGTCACAGCGGTCGGCTGAGCCGCGCGCGGCTCGAACAGAGGACCCCGGCCGGCCCCTGGAAAGGGTAAGTACCGCTACACACAGGAAGTGGAGTGTATGTGTGTAGGGGATGTTTTATGTGTTATTGTAGAGGATGCAATGTGTGTGTGTTCTTATAGAATGTAGTGTATAGGGATACCAATTTCTGTAAGGGATATAGTGTGTTTATAGGGGATGCAGTGTGTGTTTGTGTGTAAGGAATGCATTGTATGTTTCTGGGTGTGTGTGTAAGGGATGCAAGGTGTGTTTCTGTGTATTTAATTGAATGCAGTGTGTGTCTGTAAGGGGTGCATTGATTGTGTAAGAGATGCATTTTGTTTCTGTGTGTAAGAGAATGAGTTTGTGTGAACGTAAGGGATGCATTGTGTTTCAGGTGTGTGAGTAGGAATGCATTGTATGTTTCTGTGTGTGTGTGTGTGTGGGGGGATGCATTGTGTATGTGTGAAGTGTAAAAGAGAGGGTTTGTGGGGTAGGATAGAGACTGAGAGGGGAGCAGCTCTTTATTTTTTAAATTTTTTGCATAGTGCTCACCCTCCTGTCAATTATTGATTTCCCCTTCCCTCCTGTCCCTTAGTGCTCTCCCTTGGCCAGTGGTGTATCCTGGTTTTGTGCTGCCCTAGGCAGGACAAAACTCAGGCGCCCCCCTCCCCCCCACAACCCCTCCACCCAACCCTTCCCCCCGCCCCACCTTCTAAATACACACACACACAGTCAGACACAAACACACACACACACAGTCAGACACATACACAAACACACACACAGTCAGACACAAACACACACACACACAGTCAGACACACACACAAACACACACACACACAGTCAGACACATATAACAAACACACACAATAGTCAGACACATACACAGACACACAGTCAGACACAAACACACACATACACAGTCAGACACACACACACACACACACAGTCAGACACACACACACACACACACACATACACAGTCAGACACAAACACACACAGTCAGACACAACACACACAAACACACACAGACACACACACACAAACACAGTCAGACACATACACAGACACAAACACACACACACACACCCACAAACACACACAGTCAGACACAAACACACACACACATTAACTTTTTTTTTAAATTTAAATCCCCCCCCAACCTCCTTACCTTTGGGAGTGCTGGGGGGGGGGTGTCTCTCTCCCTGGTGGTCCAGTGGCTGCAGGGCGGGCGGCGCTGGCAGGGCGGGCGGCCGGCCGGCGAGGGAGCACTTCCCATGAGCTGACTGCTCAGCTCCCTCGCGCGTCGGCTGCAGAGTGAGGCTGGGAACCGGAAGATGACGCCATCTTCCGGCTCCCAGCCTCACTTTGCGGTGCGCGAGGGAGCTGAGCAGTCAGCTCATGGGAAGTGCTCCCTCGCCGGCCGCCCGGGATGTCAGTTAGCCGCGAGGCTAACAAGGCATCTGCCCTGGGCATTTGGGGGGCGGCATTTTTTGCCGCCCCCTGAAAAATGCCGCCCAAGGCAAATGCCTTGTTTGCCTCG